GACATTCAAATGGAAAGTCCTGAAAGTAAAAGGAGAAAGACCAGAGGAATACTAATCAAAGCCCATCAACTTGGTTAAGAAATGAAGCTAGCTAGAAAACAATGATCAAACATCCATCGCTTTCACGATTAGCAGTCAACTAGTTGCTAAAGTGGACTGCGGTCTATAGCATTTAATTGTGCTATTTCGCTCGATTGCCCAATGGACCCAGAAAATATATCCTCCTTGTCTACTGTCAACAAGATGCAACGGATCCGGTAAAGCTGACCTTCAGCAGCTTGTCATCAAATTCCTTCACGTCAAATTTACAAGAGTATAATTACGTTACTAGCGCAAAATGCCTTATTCAGGTTACAAAAACAGTCCAGACCAAACTCACTTATTGGAGAGAAGACACAGTGAATTCAGGATTCTATATCCATAAGTTGGTTGAAAATTCAGCTCGGATGACAATGCATACGTTCTTCGTTTTGTTTCGTATGACGACCTACCTCATGTCCGATACATGTGGACATAGTTGTAGCGCATTCGACGATTCATGGGAAAATCTCGCATGCTGATTGGTTATTTTGGCTGCTACAACAGTAAGTTACGCCAGCTAATTCGTTCTCATCCCCCATCACCAGCAAAATTGAAGGAAGTGCTTGGCCAACTCTGGCTTTGTTGTGGTTGTGACGTTCTGTCGGAAAACGACACTCGTCCAGAGTTCGGGTGGTCCTCATATCACGTGCCAGATTGTCGCAGTCAATGAGTAGTACAGAAATCAATGATCAGCTGAATTGTACTAGCGAATCAACCAACACGAACGCACACACATACGATCCAGTGACAGGTTACCTTCATTCCTTTTCATTCACGTCTGTGCTATCCACCAGAACAAAACAGCCGTAAATGGACATTTTCTTGGCGTAAGTCCGCTATTCTACTCAGCCTATGCGTAGTCGGTAATACTCTGTTGAATGCCTTCTATCGTTTTACCATTGACAGACCTTTAGTCAGGCCGACCGAGTGGTCCTGAGCGTGGTGGATTTTACGATTTGTGTGACAGTGGATATTCATTGATGTGCATGTTCAGACACAGATGAGGGAATCCGGTTTGCCTTGAGGCAACAGACGGTTTTACGTTGAAGTAAGCTAAAATGGGCTTGGTCGACACACGGAAGAGTGTTTCTGCAAAATGTCGCCCGGAAGGAGAATGTGGCGAAAGAAATGTTCCTGATACATAACTATGCGGCTTTCTGCCTATTTAAATGACCGCCTTCCATGGTACGTTTTCTGATCAGACTTGGTTTTTTCCTTTCAGGATAACTAATTTCTACCATCAGAATTACGTCTGATGAGTGACCACTCTCCGGTGAGGAACCCACTATTCGGACTCAACCAAATGTCCTCTCAAGAGACTTAGCGATCGATCGAAATCCACGACAAAGGTGATCGCATCAGCACGGAAGAAGATAAAGTTAAGAAGGTTAGCATATATAATAAGGTGATGATATTTTAAAGGCAGCGCACAACAGTCCATGGCACCGTGCACTGTCTTGACAGTGTATTCCGAGAGGAATCGAATTTTAAAAAAAGCAATATTTTGTATGTAAACGAGGTAATCACAGATGAGGGTCAAGTATGAGTTGATCTGTTCTTCACGGGCTGGTGGTGTGCCACCGACTGTGTCATATTTCAGATAAATAAAACTCAGGTTAGTAGTTCACCTCCGTTTCAACTATGGTAGTGCACATCAAACAGCTACCAATTCAGTAAAACCGGCAACCACAGCTCGTCAACATTGCTGTGGTTGCTGCGGTTGAAAATTTCAACAGAGACTAAAGTTGCAGTGGCAGATACGAATGAGCCCCAGCTTTTTCAGAAACGAAGCTGAGAATCTGTTACATCAAAACGGTTGACCCAAGCCAAGCTCAGTTGGCCAGGACAGTACACACAGTTCAGACGACCCATATCTATACAGAATATCGGGTAGAAACATGGAGGCAGACTTGCTTCGGTGAACCAGGCTCACAACCCTGCATAATATGACCATCACAATCAACCCACGAATTCTGAATGTCAAAGAGCTAGCCGCTGAAAAATTGGACTGTCTGATAGAAAATTCAATTTGATGTGGACCATAATTGAAAGGTTTTCCCCTTGGTCTGTATGTTTATAAGAAGATTTCCCACCACAGTCCAAGGACACCGCAATCAAAGAAACAGCTAATAAAATAATAGACAACCGTTAAGCAAGTATCCTTCATTGCACTGTTGACAAGATTCTGAAAAGCAGCATGCCCAACTGTTTGCGTATTGAAGTTCTGAAAAAATAACCCTGGGAACATGATGAATTTTGAGGTGGAAGCAATACGACTGAGTCCACTTCCGCACCTGTGAAGAATGTGAATGAAATAAAGTAGGTGTTATACATCATGCATGTGAAATACACATTCAGTGTGAAGGAAAGGCCTTAGATCGTCTTCCAAGAGTAGAGCAGTATTAGAATCTCTCGACAATGTTAGGTTATTCAGTAACAACTTGACTTGTAGAAACGCATCTCAATACAGTTGCAAAGAGGTGAGTAATGCTGCTCTCTGCCTCCTTATTTGTTACATCACTTTCAGACTTCTATTTGCGTGACCACTGGCCTTTTCTTTATCCTTCACACAACCCAGACGATCATCTGTTTGATTCGAAAAGAACAAAACGACGTTTCACAACCCAAAGATTTGCACCACATTTTGTGCAAAAGACTCTACTTTATATACACATCTGGAGACGGGTTTCTAACAAATAATCACGGAATCTCACAATGATTCGAATACAAGTAATTCATGAACAGTTTTCTTGTCCACCTGCCAGGCTGCTCAAGACTAGACAAGAGCAGTCAAGATTCAGAGGTCGGCTTCGAACCACAAACCTTCCAGTATATTAAGTTGGCTCCTTAGCCTCTAAGCCACCTAGACCTTTCAACCCGTCTGCAGATAAACCCTAACAGTAAACTACATGCTTGGATCGCTTCGACCTCCTATAGGAAATCGACCCGAGCAAACCAGCTGAGCGTAATATCTCCAGTCATGGAAATCGACCCGAGCAAACCAGCTGAGCGTTTGCCACATAGCCGTATTATCTCCACTCATTTATGATAGTGAAACAAATTGTTGTTTGTTTTTGTGCTTGTTCACCTTGTTGTGACAGCATGCATAGGTCGGCTGGCGACTTTCAACGGGCCTCGAAAGTAGTGGTAGCTAGGGGGCGTTAGCCGGTTGTAGATCATTTGGCTGTTGATCGGTTCGCCGGGCTTGAAAATTTGCTAGCAAACGTTCGGTTGCATTTCGTAGAAACACTAGGAGTGGGCGCAGGCGATGGCGAAATTTGGATATTGAAATCGAAGACCGGCATTAATTGTGCGTACCCTTTAAAACCTCCGACAACGAAGCCGACATCCTGCACCACTCTCGTTACGAATTGTCAGTTGTATGCGACAGGAAGTACAGAACATCTCATCCTCACAAAACCGATATTCGCCGTCAGACAATGAGGTAACATAACTCATTGTCCAGTAATGTTTATTCCTTTTCCCCTATTCTCATTCTGTACAACGCAATACCCTTTCTGTTGTTTCTGTTCTGCACGAACAAATTCTATTGTTTTGACTTGAAAGCAAACCACTATTTGGTCTTGTCATCGCACGTCTTGTTTAAGTGAACCATGTTTGAGTAGCTGTCTTGTGGCCACCTTACCTTGATTTGATGTGAACTTTGAGATCCCCCTTGGAATTAGCAGTTTTCAAACTCGTATATGAAAGACGGCATAATTCCATGATTTGAGTATCGCATTTGTTGATAAAACTCCTTTTGAAAGATTCAGTTATGGGAGTTTTGCGCGTGACTCAGCGTAGCTCAGCTGATAGCTGGAAACAGTCAATAAGGGATCAATTTAAGTCAGATCTTTACTGCCTCTTGATGTGGTTTCTAATGCTGATGACAAGCAAATCGACACTTTGGTAGACCATGAAGATTTTGGTCTTTTCATCGGGTGGTTTGGTTTTCTCAGCGGGAAAGTGTTCTGTAGACAATTTCTCTGTCTTCAAAAGTATCTCGTTGAAGGCAGGTTCCTTCGGCGATAAAAGGTTTTAAGTCATCAAAATGAAGGACACAAATAGTTGTCGTAGTCCACTATTATGAAAAGTGTTGCAAGGCCTAAAATTCTAAGAAGCACACTTTTCAATACAGCATGAAAAAATTTGCAGCTTACAAGTATTCAATGAAAATCGATGTAAACAGCCCTCATATCCTGATTACCTAGTTCATACTATAATGGTAGTGTAAGGGAATTCAGGAATTTCAGACGTGATTTCTTTCTTGAAATACACCTAGTCTATTCTGAAAACCACACACTCTGTCTGTTTACTCCTTTTTTGAGATCATGGGTAGTGCGCACCTAACAAAATTTCAGGCCGTTCCGAGTCCGCGACCCTCAGGCTAGTAGTTTGAACACTTAACCGTTCGGCCATTAGCGGCTAATCAGCAGCTTGATAAACTTATATTTACACAGGCTATAGCCCGGGTTATCAAACACGGGATTCACAGCACCTGGTCAAATGTGTTGACTAGCTCCTTTATTGACGACTTCTCACCAAATTCGTCGCTATTGCAGCCGTTTTTGTTGGCAGATAGTAGATAATTTTCCGTAGCTCCACCATGCTCCGGAATCGGGTCAATTAGTGACCCTTAACATTCATGGTGACTGACTTAGTAAACAGATCCATGCGAATTTTTCATGGTTATGTTAATTTTCGCAACCGCTTTATGTCATAGAAAAGTCTCCCATATGCTTAAGATAACTATCGGAAGCGGTCAAATGTGGGATAGCAAATGTAAACCTGCGTCTGCCTGAAACCTTTATCTAATTTATTAAGATGTTGAGAAACCAAGAACTCCAACGGGTAAGTTGCCGGTTGATCGTGGTCACCATTCGAGAAGACTTCATTAGCGTGACCGTTTACAGATTCACCTCACCCATTGTTTGACTAGTCCGCCTGCGAGTTGTGTTGAGTTGTGGTCTGAATTCCTACTGACCAGTTAGTAATATTGATCATCGTATCATTTTGCCTGATTTTCTGTCCTTGCATTACGTTGGCTGGCTTGCGCACATTTATTCATCGTTCTAATTTATTTGGCCTGTACGGTCTTCGGAATTTTCAACTTGCTTTCTGGAAGCCGTGTGCTTCTCCCTATTGATGTTTTCTACGAATTTTGACACTTTTCAGTCTCACTGATTCTTTCTTTACTTCTCGAATTTTGTCTTCAAACGATTGTTGAAAGGATCGATCCCACCTCGTTTGTTCGCTGCTTAAGGACTGATATACTGGGCCTCCTTAAATTTGCGTTTCTTAATGCGACTGCATGGTTTGGTCTATTAGCAATGTTCACTTTGAATTCGAGTACTTCCTGGTCTGTATCGTATCATCCTGAAGCTGATTAATGTACAGTGTTTCTGATCGTTAGGTATTTCTTTGTTTGTCCAACGCTGCTGGCCTTGCACTGGGTTTCGTTCCCTTTGCTGTTTGCTGCTCCTGCACACTGCTATTTGCAGTATGCTTGAAGGTCTGCAGTTTGTTCGCCCATCACCTCAAAAATGTTCATCATATATGACAGTGTGATTTCCGTCCCGTGATTTTGTCTGTGTGGCTAGGTTTGACTTTTCGAAGGCCCTTAGATGAAGGTAGCGGCTAATCAGCAGCTTGATAAACTTATATTTACACAGGCTATAGCCCGGGTTATCAAACACGGTACTCACAGCACCTGGTCAAATGTGTTGACTGGCTCCTTTATTGACGAATTCTCACCAAATTCTTCGCTATTGCAGCCGTTTTTGTTGGCAGATAGTAGATAGTTTTCCGTAGCTCCACCATGCTCCGGAATCGGGTCAATTAGTGACCCTTAACATTCATGGTGACTGACTTAGTAAACAGATCCATGCGAATTTTTCATGGTTATGTTAATTTTCGCAACCGCTTTATGTCATAGAAAAGTCTCCCATATGCTTAAGATAACTATCGGAAGCGGTCAAATGTGGGATAGCAAATGTAAACCTGCGTCTGCCTGAAACCTTTATCTAATTTATTAAGATGTTGAGAAACCAAGAACTCCAACGGGTAAGTTGCCGGTTGATTGTGGTCACCATTCGAGAAGACTTCAT